GAGTGCCTAAGCTGCTTATTCTTTAGATGGTCTGGGAATTATTTTGCGCAGATCAAAGGACTGGAAATTGGACAACGACTAGCTCCGACCCTTGCTATCGCTTTTATGTTAAAGTAGAGGCACCAATATTCGATGTCCGGCCGTTACTCTACTGTAGGTATATAGATGATTGTTTTGTCGTCTGCTCAACGCAAGAGGCGAAGGGCAAATGTTTTGAGTTGTTAAATAGCCAGTTAGAGTACATAACGTTCACCCGTGAGAAACCTAAGGCAAATTGGCTTCCATTTTCAAACGTTCAAGTCAAGCGTCCAAGAACTCTTTCAACAAAAAGTGGTGCCGTCAAGCCAAGGAACAAAAACATCCTGGTCCATTACCTATCTTCTCATTCGTCGCACACAAAATACGCACTTATGAAAAACATGTTTCGAACAGCTGCTAATGTGTGCACAGGAAAAGAATACAAGGTAGAGTTCTGAGCTTGGCGCGAAAAATAGCCACCTTTAATGGCTACAACACCACGGAAGCTTCTCGGGTTAAATTTGGAGAAGATTCGGTGCCCCTATACGGAAGGTCTAGCGAAGATAACTTTCCATTCATCCTGCATTTTATTTCTAACGATGTGCGTGCAGGCATTAAACGCTGCTTAAAAAGAGCAGGTTTAGATGATTCTGTAGCAGTAGTCGAGATACCACCAAAAACACTAAAACGTCAATTAGTCCGCAACCGATTGTATGATCGTCTCTACGAAACCAACGACTGCAAGGTTTGCTCAAACGGCAGAGACGGCGACTGCATGAGGTCGGGTACAATTTACCTGATCTCTTGCGAGGCATGCGGGGATGAATATATTGGCGAAAAGGGTAGACCACTCTGCATCCGCGTAAAAGAGCACCTAGCTGGGAAACGTAATTCCGACCCAAAAACCTCACTACGCCGCATGGGGAACAGAAGCATAAGGGAGCAGATTTTGACGTTAAATTCACTGTTTTGCACAGGAATTGAAAACGTTTACGCGTAAAACTTTGGAAGCTTTTTGGATACATAGCAAAGGCCCAAAAATGAACCGCAAAGAGGAATGCCTCGTAATAACGCGTAACCTAGCACAATATCTTAGGCTAATATTTCCGACCTGAGCCAGGCACAGTCTCATACTAGCACAGACTCCAAGTGGCAGGTCTTCAATTATTAATTGAAAGACCTAAAACATCTAAGCGGGCAGTGTTTTTGATTTATCCTTATATCATTGAATCAATGGCCTCATTTTTCTTACTTCTCACTGACTCACTCTCGTCGCAGCTTGAATACACTTTATTTTTTCGATATGCCGTGAAATCCTTAGACGGTGCTATTCGGTTTCAAGAGGGCAAGTGAAAAACTGCTGCCATTCGCTGAAGAAGAGCTTTTCACAGGGTGTAGTAACCATTCGGAAGCTGAGACTCCAGACAAAGGCCACATCGCAGGTTTCCGAAAGAAGAGAAGACTTTTGACGTTTCGAAGGACATTCGTTGGCTTCAGGCACACATATTTCTCACCGGGCAGGGTTCTTTCTTTGGACGATTAGTAATCTTTCGATAGCGTAATCGTTTCTGATTCCAACACTGTGCTTATATCCTGGAAAGACCGTTTCTCAGAACGGCAGCATGTAAAGTAAGTTGCGTTCCCATTTGCAGTCAGAGGGGCCTTTGGCCAATTCACGTGCCTGTGAGTGAGACCAATCACGTGAACTGCTGACGCGGTACTTCTCTACGCGTTGATGTGTCCGAAAAACTGATGATGATCGCGTCATCGAACGTGGTTGCCTCAGTCAGCCGCACATGAAGTGGCCAAAGACTCCCGCTGATCGCAGATGGGAATTCAGCTTGTTTTACCTGTACGTCGTTTCGTAGAAATCGTCTTTTCACGATCTAATCACGTCGTTGGAACCTGACGATTACGCTATCGAATGATTACTGAAGAATAGTCCAAAGAAAGAGTTCCGTCTGGCGAGAAACGTGCGCGTATGCAGAGCAAGAAATATTCTTCTGTAGCGACGTAAAAAGGCGATTTCGAAGACCGACCACGTGGGTTGTAGCTTGAAGTCTCAGCTTTCGATTGGTTATTAACACTCCTATGAAAACTTTCTCTCCAGCAGCGAATGATGATCGGTTTTCATTTGTCCTCTGACAACTGAAATAAACCCCTCAGACAATGACGTCACTAGATCAGTAAAAACTGACGAGTGACTCATTCCTTAGATATATTTGTACTTGTCCTGTATACCTTGAAATAATGAACGGTTTTCTTTGACGTTCAGGGAATGAGCACTGGTCAACAACCCGGTGTTTTCAAGAAGCCTGCAAAGCAGCACAAGACATTCAAAGGAAAACGTTCGAAAGGACGGATTGATGCTGAAAATCGAGGTTTTCCTTGAATTCTTTGCTCTTCTACTCAAGGATTTTTCATGCTAGAGTTTAATGTTCCACTGGTAGTTTCTTGTATAATTTAGCTAATTTCACAAGGTTGAAACTAAGATTTATTCGACTGACGTCCTCGGCCTCCGATTGTAACGTATAACATAGAGGTGAGAGATTGTGGAGATTATATTATTATATATATATATATATATATTACTATTATTATGTATATTATTATTATTATATATTATTATAGTGTATTATTATTATTATTTCATGTGGAGATTTATCCATACAGTGTATGTAGAGTATATTTATTTCTATTCAACCAGATTTTCCTTGTTTCAAAATGAATCAACTTTCATCCTGAAGACAAGGATTTGTAGATCCTAAGGATTATTTAGTTAGCTATAAAAGCATTTCATATGAATCTTAAGGACTTCGCTTTTTTAATCAGATTTCTGCTATTAACTTCGTGTCGGCTAAACAAGGGAAGTCCTTAAGATTCACATACATCAAATATTAATTCCAAGGTTTATAGAAAGCTAATCTCTTTAACTAATTGTATCACAGCAGATAAGGTCCATTTTGAGTCACTGTATGTCGATTTGAGAAAAAAGCAGCCATTATATTCCCTCAGTATTCCTCCTGTGTAGGTCGCACCGCTGTAGGTATTGATCGATCTTTCGCAAGAATGTAACAGTTTCAGGTAAGTGATCACAATTATCACTGATCGTACACATTAATTTCTCGCTAAATAAAGGTGAATGATATTTAGCCGAGAGTACAGCCATGCCCATCATCAGACCCAGCAGGGCCGAACTTGAAATAACTAGATAAGATAGAAAATAGAAGACCGACTGACCGTGTGCTTTCATAATTGTGAGGAGTAAGTGATTGTCCTGACTCAGTTCTACATGACACGGCCACAGCAAGCACACCAGATCCGATACCTAAAGTTCCAGGATCAATTCATTTAGACCACTGGTACGTGAAAATTCTAGAAATTTCTGCTAGGAAACCTACTTTGATACAATCAAGAACATCGTCAACCTTCTCACGGTCCGGCATGAGAAAACCAATTCGTGACTTGAGCTTAGGAACACTGGAAAATGCTTGGATTGTATGGATAATCATCTTCGACAGAGAAGTCAGAGATGAGAACACCTACGCAAAGTACACAACATTGTGTCCTAACGTGGTTACGATCGTTTCATCGCAGTTCGACAGATCCGAGGCGAATTCAGACGCTTTGTAACTATTTCCGAGAGCCAGAACTGTCTAGAACACATAGGAAGTCAATCAGAAGTATCAACAAAAGTAACACAGTAATTGAATAAACAAGTAGAAAGGATAAGCATACAGTCAATGAAGGTGCGTGAAAAGTTACTTCATGACCTCGGCGCTGCTCGAAAAGAGCTTTTCGCTTATTTGCTCGAATTTGGGCAGCTTGTTGGTGACGTTCCTGCTTTGACAGAAGTCGTTTACGTGAGTGAATAGCCTCTGAGATCACTACTCGACCTAAAAACAATTAATCAAATCTGGGAATTACTGGAAATTGACTGCCCGTTAACCTCGACATAACCAGTCAATAGTAACATCTTTTAGGGTTTAGCTAATATGAGATTTAGACAAAAATTCAATAGTTCCATATGAACCTTTAGATCAAACGACTGTGGACAATCTGCTCAAAATCACTGACTCTAGATAGGAACGAAGTAGTCGATATATTGGGATAAAGGATAGAGTTCTCGGCGTTGATCAATCCCTGAGGGATGCGCCATGCATTCGACTTCAATTTTTAACTTCGTTTGAGGTGATTGAATGCATATCTGGCCTTTACAATGACTCGCGGAGGCCTCCCGCTGAACCGAGTCAGTGCTGCTTATACTCCCAGATGAGTCTGAGACCTGTCTAGTACCGATTCCAAAAGTTTTTTTTTATGTAAGCTTATTGGCGTTCCTGAGTCGTTATCTTGATCAGACTGTTGTAGCACTTGTTCTGGTGAAGAGAAAGTGCAGGACACTATAACCAACTCTGGATTCGGACCAATCAACGAGGTCAGCCTTCGAAAACCGTATCCCCATATCCGAAGTATTCTGACCTCTGTGATAATGAAATAGCGAACGACACTAGGAATCTTATTCGAAGACGCTTCAACTACTTTTTATAAAGATTCTTCCAAAAATATCCCAACGAAGTTCTGTTGAAAAACAACGGTTGAAATGTTGTTGAGTAATTTTTCTGGATACTTGGACGGTCCGTCTTCACGAACTGTGCGGACCTCAGCTCATGAAAATGTGCTGGTTTTGCTGTACTGTTTCCTGGAGTCCCACAGTAGACTTAGCCGTGGTTTCCTAACGTCGTCACCACATTAAAGCAGTCCCGGCCCCTTGTGAATCATAGGGAACTCACCACCATGCGACTAGTAGCTACTAAGACGTGCGTCATTCGTGGTACATTCCTTGTTGTGTTTTTTCCATGAATGCCTTCAAAAAAATATGCAAAGCTTTCGTTAGTACTCGGAATTAATATTAATTTAATGCATTTCGCACTGTTATGATGTTTTCTATATATCTAAGAGAATTGAGTGGTGAGCAAAAACGCGGCCTCGGACGGGAATCGAACCCGTCTTTCATCCTATCCGGGCACGCGTGCTCTAACCACTACACCACCGAGGCTTTGGTTAGTTCTTATAGTGTTTCTGAATCTACCAGTGACATTATCGGAAACTTTCACGCAAATGAAATGGCTTATGTAGGACATCACCATGGGACTCTAAGGAGGATCTGCCTTTGGATTATGCTCGTATCTTCCAATTTCAAAACTACAAAAGAACCAAAAAATTAGTTTTTGAATGAAATCGGGAGTATGACTCGACATCATGAGTTCATCCAGGACAGCATGTGACGTTGCAAATTGGTCGTGTTCCAGTATCACTCGCACGTATGTGTTATATTCTTACGTTTATTTACAAGAAATTTCCTGTTTTACCGCTATAGTAGTGCCATGACGTTACGATTATAATATATCCATGGATGCTGAGTCTATGGAAAACCTACGACCCAGGCTGGCATTGAGTAACGGAGCGATGGTCTCGGTGGTAGTTTGCGCTAGCTGCCGATGTGGGTGAAGTGCGAGTTCAACTTCCGTTTGGTGCCGAAGGTTTTGCATATCACTTAGCGTCTTTGCATATTGCTGTATTGTTTTATAACCGCTAGATGCTGAAACTAAATGAGAAGTGGAGTTGAAATCTACTCAGAGAAATTAGTTCTAGTAACTGCTTTACGCAGGGTGCTTCATAATCTTTGATTGGGTGTATTATTATATCTCTCATCCACAATTAATCTTGTCAAACGGCCTAAGCTCTGGTGTAATATCACAATATATATCCAATAATGTCGAGTGATACGCAAACCTTTCAACCTCAAACGGGAATCGAGTCCGCATCTCAACTTTCCGGGAGGCGCTTGCTAACCAATTTCACTACCGACTTGTATCGCAGAAAGAGTGATTGCAGAAGAGCAGCCTCGGAAGTGTAATCGGTTAGCATGCGCCACGGAAAAGTGATGTACGGGTTTGATTGCCGTGTGCGGTTTAAAGTTATGTGTATCACTCAATATTATCGGATATATATCGTTCATCTATTAAACGGGGAACATGACCTAAAAGTGCCTTTAAACGAGTGGTAAAGATAGTAATCAATGCTGAGTAGTGGCTTGTGTAGCTTATCTTATCTGAGGTTATTGATGAACATTGTTAGAGCAATGGGACCAATCTGCTCCTATGGTACTACATCAACTATTGCCCCATGAGCAGCGGATGTCAGTCATAAATCTGCTCATTCGACGACATCCATCATGTACAGTTCCTATCATGAATAAGCAGGTTCGTGATCTCAGTGAAAAAGTATATTTTGAATAGGAATCTATTATGATTGTTTTTATTCCCTTATATTCGTTGCGAACTTTATGTTCATTAGGTGAATTTGAAATGTTTAAGAAACTAATCTTCAACGTTGGTTTTCGTAAATTTGAGGCATGTCCAATTTTCAGTCAGCATACTAACGGGGACAAGTTCAAGGTGGTTCTACTTAATTATTTGAAATTTACACGTTTTGATTTCAAAAGCTGAAGTTTTTTATACATTTATTCTTCGAGATGGAACGTTTTCTGCCGATGAATGCATGTTGTGTCGCCACCGTATTTGCTCCGATCACCTTCCCTCCGGCTTCGGTTTTGGTATTACGTGAAGGAAAAATGGAGGGACAGGTGAGCGTGCTCATAGAGTTTTGCTCATACTTGCAGTGAATTTCCTACTAAACCTGTTAAAAATCTAGGAATTTGTTGCTACGGGATCAGTGCTAGACGTGAACCCAGACAGAATAGTTTTGGAGCGAATTGTTCTGTCAGGTCATCCTTTCAAAATCAATAAGCGCTCCGTTGTTTGCCGCTACATGTTCTTTCATAGAGGTAATGTTCCGCAGATCTTAACCGTTCTGTAACTTAGCATTCAAAATTTTCCTTCTATTGGAGAATTTTCGAGTGTTTTCTCTCTTTCTAATTTGTTTCGAACATTTCGAATACAACTACCACTGTAGTAAAAAATATTTTGATATTGTACTCTTTCAGAGGATATCGAATGGTTCAAACCTGTGGAGTTGTATACCCCTAGTGGACGTCGTGGTTACATAAAGGAACAATTAGGTAAGTAATCAACCAGTTTTCTGATTTTGAACAGTCTTGAGAAATTTGGAAAATCGGACGAAAGTTGAGTTCGTGTCTCATCCTTTTCACGAGCGCGTCCTAGTATAACAAGAACCCCCAATGAAACCGTGCTTAGCACACATCCCCGAAAGAGTGAGGCGCAGGTTCAACTTCTGTCTGAAGTTTGAGGTCTTCATATCACTCAGTATTATCAATTATGTTTTCATAAAGCCATATCACTAGCAAAAGTACGGTTGAATAATCCTTTTTCTTTTTAGGTACCCATGGTCATATGAAGTGCCGGTTTGATAAGCAGCTCAATGCCGCTGACTCAGTTATGATGTCTCTATGTAAGAGGGTTTTTCCAAAATGGACATATAAGCTTCATCTGTAAGGATTTCCAGGTAGAGCGTTTTGGAGGTGCTTCATCTAACAACCAAGAGGCAGAAGATATGGGCGAATAAGTTAGGAGATAAAAATCGGAAGTATAAGAGTTTTTTGCCTCTGTGTACTGGTTCCAATTTGTTTTCATGGATTGTTGATTTCTTTGTTACGCTTCTTGTTCGCGATAGTTTTGTTATTTGGTCCTTGTAGACGTTGAAATAGTTTGTCACGTCATTATTCTTTTCGGTCATGAAATATTGACATTTTATTTTGTCTATTTCTGTGCTGGTCTGTCCATTTTATGATAATTACGACGTTTGAAATATCAGTTTATGTTCTCCAGGTTTTCCATCATTCATTTCGTAGGAGTGGAGCTTCTGTAACATGGAGCAGACGAAAAACAGTTTGGCATTGTTTCAAGTTTTGCGAAGATCTAATGGCATTCTTCTAATCGACATGGTTCAGGTCGTGCAGCGGAGCTTGAGTTGGCTCAGTTTCGTGACCTACTAGAGTCATTCCCGTATACTTCTGAGGGACAAGAGAAATTTATTGAAGAGGTGATTTGTTGTCGTTTTTTTTTTGCACAACTTTTACAAAATACTGGACAATAATCGGAATCCTAATGCTTGGTCTCTCTTCAAAGCAGTAAAAGCCGTATCAAACGGTTTTTGGAAGATTGACACATGATTGTGGATTTTTGTGCATTCTCTTTATCTATACCATCGAGGAAAATGGAGCTATCAATGCATAATGAGTATACGATAATCTCCGAAACCATGGTAAAGAGGCACAATGGGAGATATCTGGGCGGTTCTTCCATGAAAAAGTCATCATAGTGTCAACTGAATATCGGCATTCTTCCGAAAGGCGCAGCATCTGTGGATATTCGTAGGCCCGTAGCCTGAAAAAGTGGTGTGAGTGGGATTTGTAAAAGTGACTCGAGTTACATCAAATGAACGAGAAACGAGGTTTTTTTACTTTCATATAGCAGTTTCTTGTGTTCTTACATCTCTTTTCTCTCCATAATCATCTCTGGATCATTCAATATATTTGTATATACATGCACACACACTTGTACATGTATATGTAGATGTATAGTAGTCCGCTACAAAACAGTTTTTGATCATCACGGATCACAGCCTCACTAAAATCATTTTTAGTGTGTTTGTCGCCTTTCAGGAAAGGCATAAACTATTGAATTTGAACCCAAGATGCAAGATCCAGACAGATTTTTTCGCTTTCGACATTTATCGTATCAGTTCTCATCCCCTCTCCTCTCCTCATGATAAAACCTTTTATATTAAGTTCGTAAAACGTTAGAATGATGTAGTTGTTTCTCATAATACCTTTGCGTCTCCACAATTTGAGGGTTGGGACGTTTCTCAGAGTAAGGCATACAGTCTGTTAGAATCACGAACCCAATCACTCCAACCGACCTATAATTTTTTGCTCAACGGAGCTGATGTCACTGTTAGTTTGGTGGATTGGTTCTTTCCACATATAAGAGATTGTACCGAAATCGTGGATTGAATAGAACACGGAGTATCCAAAGAATGAGAGAACAAAGAACTTTTTGTGAAACTCGACAGTGACATAGAACATGATTATAAAGAAAGATTCGAGGTTACAGATTCGCAGAGGCTGATAACGGTGAAAAGTTAGGCGTCATGGCGAAATTGTTGGTTTAAACGAATTATCAAGAGTACATTACCTGGTATTTATTTCTATAAATGCGCATTATCTTCTGGTATGCTTTATACTCCACCAAACATCGGACTTGTACGGATCATACGGTTCTCCTTTCAAAATTTCTGGTGCTTAGTAAGACTTCGACCCGCAGTATGTTTCCGAGAGTGCATCACCCTTCATCATCTGGATTGGTAGGTGATAGCTTATTCTGTTATGATAAAATCGTCTGAAACAGAAAAAAAAACTTACGCTACGTGCGAAACCAAAGTCAACAATTTTGATTACATTTCCTTCATCGGGAAAGATAACTATATTCTCTAGTTTGAGGTCTCGATGAACGATTCCTCTCTGAATTATAGTTTCAATTGGAATAGATACATGCAAAGCAGAGTGGTACTCACAGTATGCATGTAATAAACTGCCGAGATTAATTGGGACATCCAAATCATCGCTTGGTTTTCCTGCACTGGTCCCTTTTTCTGTATATATTGTAGCTGGAAAAGACGATCAACGTATGTTTGGTCAGTATTGGCTGTCTCGACATTACCAACTCAATAATGGACGTATCGTTTTTGTGTTGCGTCAATACGTGTTGTAGGGCTTGATCATTATTAATCGTGAAAATGCTAGGTGTTTCCTCACGTCATGAAATAGTACCTTGGTGTCATAGTTCAGTAAAACGTTTTTTGCTTCTATCAATTCAGAAAAATAAGTAAGAATAGAAAAATCACTGTCTGTTCTACGTTCTTACTAGTTATTACTAATGAATCTTTGAGGGCGTATAATGAGCCATTTATAACTTTCTTAGAAATTTCATATGCGTTCAGTTCATTTGTCACGGCAAAGCAATACTACTTTCATTATTGATCTTTGAAAATCGCCTTACCATATCCCCTCCTCGT